CCGCTATTGTTGAAGACGCTGTCAGGATTTGTGACCAGAAGACTGATGGGTGGCCAAGGCGACGAAGATCCCGCAGGTGGACACCAGCAGTGAAGGAAGCAGACAAGCTGAAGACTGAAGCCTTTTGGACTTGGTTAGACCAGGGGTCTCTATAACAGTTTCAAACCATTAATCCTTTATGGGAAAACAACCTAACGTATAATGTGGACTAATGTGGAGGAGTTCCTACAGCCGTGTCCCCTGGGGAATCCTGTGGGCTGAACAGCTTTAATATGGTCACCAGGGTCGTTTCTCCGAGATATCTGGTCCCTGAATATCTAAAGTGAGAGCTGTGGGAAAACCTCAGAATCCCTCAGGAGGCGCTAGCAAAGATTGCTGAGTAGAGTTACATCTGGGTCGAGCCAGCTGATGTCCACAGGGTGCTTGATTATGAAACCTTCTTGGTGGACCCAGAGCTTGAAGTGGGGTCTTCTTACTGGATTATTTGTCTTATTTAGTAAAGGAACAACGGGAAAATATTGTTGGGGAGAGAGGCGTCAGGGTTAACTGGGTCGACCCGGCTCTGGGGAAGCTGAAGACAAGAGAGGGATTGGACTCCACTTGTGGAACCAGAGCTTGCAATGGGGTCTTCTTGTGGCATTATTTTGTCAATTAGTAAAGAAATGCGTCAGGATCCCCAAAGAACAGCTGGAAACCTTTTAGGGGAAAGGGACGTCTGGGTTAACTTGATAAACCTGCTGCGGGTCGACCCGGCTCTGGGGAAGCTGAAGACAAGAGATGGATGGACGAATCCACTTATGGTTCTCCGGTGAATTTAAATAAACTGCAGGTTGCATTTTGGTGTGCGACTCATTCATAGATTTTGACGCAGATGTACATTTTTCCACAGATTCCAGGTACAGACTGGAGGGGCTTTTGGTTCAGAACAGAGGACTGGCCTCCCTGATGTTTCTCAGACCTATGATTAAATGGACTTTTATTGCTCTGACTCAGAGTAGATGCTCTCAGGGGAACTTTGTGTGACCTAATGGACGGTGGCTGGTTTTGACATAAGTGCACTTTAACTGGTGAGCAAATGAACCAATTAAAGCGACTGCCATCAATAAAAACCCGACACAGTGATGGAGATGAGCTGCACACATATATGCAAAAAACCCCCTCTCTTTCCATTTGGAGTTTTCCAAAACAAGACAATGTTTCTATATAATTAAAGCCTTTGAGCGTACGCACTGAAGATCCTTTTCATTTAATCTCTTGTCCTTTTGTCGTCCTTTTCTCTTAATGTCCTTGTATAAAAGTCGTACTTTAGGCTCGTAATGTTGCTTTAAAACTGCCTCCAAACACAGACAGAGGGACCGACTGTTAAAGTCCAGGCTTTACTGAGCGGTTCTGTCTGACCACAGCGTCCTCCATCATATTGTTGTTGTAGGAAGAGAAATGTTTTTAAATCCCTGAAACTCTTGGTGAAGCTGTATCGTCCCCCGCAGCTCGCCCTGTGGTTATTAACATTTTGTCTTTCCAGAGCGCTTTCCCATCAGCCCCGGCTGCACTTTGAGTTGACTGTTAATCAGCGAAACCCTTGAAACAGAGATGATGAACGTGCTAAACACTAAAGCTGCTAGCTCAGCGTGTTAGCATGCTGCCCTTGGGGGTTAGCTGTACACATTGTTGTGTCAGCGTGCGGCCTTACACAGCAGCTGGTTGTTGTTTTTCTGAGACACAAAGGAGTGAGTTAAGGTTTATAAACCAGAACTAAGGTCAAAGTTTTAAAATGATAGATGCTCCTTTATTTTACTGATCGATAGCATCAGAAAGGACTAAAACCTCTGTGTCATGAGCCAGGAAGTGAGGAGAGGAACGATCCATCACAGAGTGGAGACAAACATAATCTAGACAGTGTGCAGGAGTTTGTCTGCAATTTTTTGATGACCGAAAACAAGACATGACCCAGTATTGGGAGTCGAGGACTTCTATTGTTGTTACCGTGGTATCGATAAAGTTTGACTGTGACCCCCCTACATTCAACACAACCCGGGCTCGTAGGACACATTCATCGCTGGTTTTGGTCTTTTTCTTGGGATTTGATGACAATAAAAAAAGACTATAGAATAACACAGACAGGTCCTTTATTATTCGATCTAGTGCTGAATGTTAATCCTGATGTCTGTGTCGACCACGACAACGACACCCTGAAAGCAAACAGGAACATGTCTGACCTGCCTCCACACACACCAGCTTCAACTCAGAGTTAAAGCCTGCTCCTTCACACTCCCTCCTTTTCCGTTTGTTTGTCCAAATCCATTTGGTTTGTCTTCATGAAGATGTTTTAAAAATGCAAATATGTGGCCGCTGAGTAACAGATCTGGACACAACAAGCTCTTTAGATGAAGGGAAGAGAAGTGAGAGAGCAAACAATGAGCTGGCAGTGACGGGCTCTGAACCCCTCCTTCATGAGGCTCGCTCACCAGGCAGCCAATGAGCAGCTAGCATCACGTCTGTATAATATTCCAGATTAAACTGGTGCAGTGATGAAGAGAGAGAAGTACTCAAACAAAGCTCAGGTTCTCATGTCTGTGCAGGATGGACCCAACGCTGAGGCGTCAGCAGCACCGCCCCTCCCTCTCTCTCCCTCTCTCCCTCCCTCTCTCTCTCTGTCCCTCTCTTGTCTCTCTCTGTCTCTCTCTCTCTCTCTCTCTCTCTGTCCCTCTCCTCTCTCTCTCTCTCTCTCCCTCTCTCTCTTTCTCTCCCTCCCTCTCTCTCACTCTCTCTCTCTCCCTCCCTCTCTCTCCCTCTCTCTCTCCCTCTCTCTCTCCCTCCCTCTCTCTCACTCTCTCTCTCCCTCTCTCTCTCACTCTCTCTCTCCCCCTCTCTCCCTCTCTCTCTCTCCCTCTCTCTCCCTCTCTCTCTCTCTCTCTCTCCCTCCCTCTCTCTCACTCTCTCTCTCTCCGTCTCTCTCTCCCTCTCTCTCTCTCTCTCCCTCTCTCTCCCTCTCTCTCCCCCCTCCCTCTCTCTCCTCTCTCTCTCTCTCTCTCTCTCTCCCTCTCTCCCTCTCTACACCTACAGGTGATGGAGCAAGGTGGGCAGGAAGCAGCGTGGAATGGAAGGAGGGAAGGATGAACAAGAGGGAGCAAGGAAGGGAAGGAGAAGCAACTGAGAAGACGGATAAAGACAACACACATGCACACACCCTCCCACACACACACACACACACACACACACACAAACCCACTCTCACGCTGACAGAGAGACACACAGAGTCAAACTACGGCTGTCCGATATGTGAGCAGATGCACACGCTCGCAAACACACACGCCGAACTGACACACAAAGAAACCGGGAGAAAAGATGAGGGGTGGAGGCTACTCTAGTAAAGAGATGAGAGGATGACAAAAAAGGGATGAGACCAAAGAAAGACAAAAACAAATGACCTACTAAAGAAATCTTATCGTGTGCTACACAAGAGCCGGTATTTAGATCTGCTACAATCTAAATACGTCTACAAAAAGAACACGTCTACTCATGAAGGACAGCAGGAAAAACATTTCACAGATTATCTCTGCAAACAGGGAACCTGTAATATCTCATCAACACAGGAAGAGAAGAGAAGTGTGAAGGAGAGAGAGAGAAACACAGGTCATCATCAGAGGGAGCTGGAAATACTGTTACAGAAAGAACCCAGAGCAGCGGATCAAAGAGAGAGAGAAGAAGAAAAGAGGAAGAGTGAACTGAGAGGTGTTTTTGACAGTAGTCTTGGAAACAGCAGTGGTGTGTGATGGGGCTTTTATACTCGAAGGTTTACAGTACAGAGAAGCCGTTTCATGAGAAGTGAAGTCTAATCAGCTCCTACAGTTTCTCCACAGGATCATTGATTGACACGTTTACATGTTTACAGCAGGTTCATCCACAGCTTGACCTCATTCACAAACAGAAGAGAACAGGCGCTGCAGGAGGAGCTGCTGTTTCCTCTCTGATGTCCTCGACCCGTCCTCAGATCACATCAGCTGTTTTTGACTTTTTTTACATTTCGTCTTTTTTTTTTTTTAAAACGCCTCATCTTCATAAAAGCGCAGTATCGGTCAGGATGCCTCACACACGCAGAGAGAGAACAGCCGGCCTCCTCCTGCACCGAGCAACACTCAACAATAAAACACACTCTGGACTGGGACCGGGGACTGGGTTAGGACCAGACCAGCGGGTCAGACCAGAAGAACACAGCCGGTCAGGACTGGGTGCTGTTTGAGGGAGAATCAGAGAAAAAGAAAGAGGAGACATTGCACACACACGAGCAGCGAGCGAGCCGGAGGGGGGACACAACCAGAGAGTCAAAATACTGCAGTCCACGTGCCGTGCAGCAGTGTGTGTGTGTGTGTGTGTGAGTGAGAGAGACTGGAGGTGTGTGCACGGATACCTGTTTGATGTGTGTGTATGTGTGTGTGTGTGTGTGTGTGTGTGTGTGTGTGTGTTAATGTGTGTACATGCGTTCGGCGGACTCACTCCCGGGGGCTGGGCTGGTATTGGCTGTAGCGGTGGAGAGAGCTACGTGAGAGGGGGTAGAGATAGTGTTTACGTCGTGGAGCTGACTGAGCACGGAGGAGCGCCGTCTCACCGCTCCCTGAAACGAACCGCTTCGCTTGAACGTGCTCACTACCTCCATCTGCAGGACAGAGACAAAACAGCAGCACTCAGTGAGGGCAGGAAGGGCTGGTCTGAGCGTGTGTGTGTGTGTGTGTGTGTGTGTGTGTGTGTGTGTTGTTGTTGGGAATCCTTCAGATTTGATATTTCACTGTTACAGCTTCAGCGTTCTGTTGTGTTTTCTCTCCGGCTCTCTTCAGGTTGTCACTTTACAATAATTTTTTATTTTCTTTAAAGATTTGTTTTGGGCATTTAATGGAGAGACGGGACAGTGGATAGAGATGGAAATCAGAGAGAGAGAGAGTGGGGATTGACATACGGGAAAGGAGCCACAGGCCGGATTTGAACTTGGGCCGCCCGCGTTGAGGACTATAGCCTCCATACATGGGGCGCGTGCACTAACCACTGCGCCACCAGCGCCCCCACTTTAGTAATTATTGTCTCTTTCCTGAGTAAGGTGCTTAGAGAGAAATGCTTCCATCAATCACGCCGACTCCTGCACACTTTCTAACTTACAAAAACACTTTTCAGTCAGAAAACGTTTGCATTAGAAATATTTACTGCAGCAGCAGAACATAGTTTGTGTTTGGCGTCTAGGCTCCGACCACCATGGGATGGGGGAGGGGCGGAGCAGAGTGCAGTACCGCTGCAGGTCAGAGGTGTCAGTGAAGGAGCAGAGAGAGAATAGCCTCCTGTCCACCAGGCGGTCTGCTCTGGTTCACTACGGTTTGGTAGGTAAACCCTGATCATGATTCCCATCATAGCAGGCATCTTTTAGGGTCGGCTCGGTACAGCATCCCAACAGAAGGGTAGAGGGTCGCTTATTTTGGTACCACTCCCAACTTTTGGCAGTGGGAACGCCAATAAATGCGTACTGAGGAACTGAACCGGACCGCTTGGTGGAAAAGGGGCTTTAGAAGGACGTGCTGAAATCAGAGCAGCTCCTGAACAAGCTCGCCGGCGTCACCTTTTTTATTGGCAACATTTTGATTTCGAATTGTAATTTTTGCAAGTTAGAAAAAGAGCGGGAGTTTTCTTGCAGATTTTGACAGCTAAGTGAGCAAAGCTGTCCTCTTTAAAGTATCTTTGGAAGTTCATCTTTATGACAGCGTTCAGATCAGAGCTCCAGGAGAACTCACTGACTGTGACTTCACACTGAGATGATTTCAGTGTTTGTTTGTGATCATCCGTTCATGAAGATACTCTGAGTATTCATCCCGCCCATCAGAACATTAAGAGATGAAGTATATTGATCCTAAGATGGACCATGTGAAACAATACAAATCTTCTCAGCAGGGGGGGTCTGTGCTCTGATATCAGTGTGGTCTCTGTGGTGATCAGCTGGATGAAGCGTTCATTGTGAAGTCGTGTTAAACCATGAGCAGTGTTTTTAAAGAGCCCTTTAAAGTGTTGTGAATATTTCCTGTCGCAGCAGAAACAATCAAACTGCATTTTAATATCTTTATGGGCCGCTGTGCATCGTTAACACTCGTTAAAAGTCCGTTCTGAACATTGCTGACTAACAAGATAGCGGTGTGTACGAGCCTGTGTGTGTGTGTGTGTGTGTGTTGTGCACACTCAGACCAAACCCTCTCATTAAAGTGGAGCACTTTAGGCAGAGACAGGCACTTAAGCAGAGAGTGTGGCTCTCTAACAGCAGCGTGTTGTTGGTGCTGTTTTGAGTCTTAATGTCCGTCCTCACACCGATCAGTGTGACCATCAATCAATTCAAGCATCCGAGCAAACGGCCTGTCTACTTAGCATTAGCCTGAATAAAACACACACACCGGTGCAGCTGCAGACACACACACACACCGGTGCAGCTGCAGACACACACACACACACACACACACACACACACACACACACACACACACACACACACACACACACACACACACACACACACACACAGCACTTATCCTGTCTATAAGATACATTATACATGATTGGAACAGAACAGTTTGCTGTTTAGGAGGGAAACAGGAATTATTATGTTTGGCACAAATCAGAAGAACAGCAGAGATGAACAGAAAGAGAGAGAGAGAGAGAGAGAGAGAGAGAGAGAGAGAGTCAAATCACATCTTTACTTAAACCGTGCTAACGCAGACGTCTCTTCAGTTTGTGTGTGTGCGGGACATGAGACTTCCTGTGTGTTCAGTCAGTCCTAATATTCTGAAAACATCACACCATCATACTCAGAGTCCTGCTCTGTGGTTTACATCCTGATGTCTCTTCTGTCTGCATGTGCATACCTGTTGGGTCGTTATGTGTGTATCTGTGTTTGAATGAAAGAGTTCTGATCAGGGTTAGCTGTGTTGGTCCGGTGTGACGGTACCTGGGTCTGGATGCGGTTCAGGCCTCTGAACCAGAGGATCTGTCCGCGGCGCAGCTCTCTCTCAGCGCAGTCGATCTCCTCCTCGTCCTCAGCGAGCTCCTCCCCTTCCTCATCGCTGGGCTCCAGGCCAAGCCCCGCCTCCTTCAGGCACGGCAGCCGCTCCGTCGGCACCGTGGCGATCACCTAGAAGCAACGTCACAACACCAGATTTTTTAAACTTGGTTATGATTCTAGTCAAACTCAAACAATATGGATGCCTGCAGACATCAGAGAAACATGTTTGGTGAATTCTTGTGTTAAATTAACAAAAATCACAAAATCCTGCACACTGTCTTTATTGCACAAAAACATTGGCGACATTTATTTATAGAGATGTTGTCAACTTATTTGTGCAATTTAAACACTGCTCTCTCTCTTTCTCGACCGGTAGCTTTTAATTACAAATTGTTGTATTAAAACACGTCGTTACTAAAAGCATTAAAGGGGACACATTCTGAAAAATCCACTTCTTCAGTGTTTTTGAACATATA